CCTGCATCTTTCTCTGTCTGCCTGTCTCTCTCTCTCCTTCCTTCTTTCCTTCCCTCCCACCCTTCTTTCTTCCATCCCTCCCTTCCACCCTCCTTCCTTCCCTCCCTCCCACCTTCCTTCCTCTCTCTCCTTCCTTCCTTCCTTCCTTCCTTCCCATCTTCTCTCCTTCCTTCCCTCCCTCCCACTCTCCTTCCTTCCTTTCTTCCTTCCTTCCTTTCCTTCTTCTCTCCTTCCTTCCCTTCCTCCCACTCTCCTTCATTTCTTTCTTCCTTCCTTCTTTCTTCTCTTTCTGTCTGCCTGTCTCTCTCCTTCCTTCCCTCCCCCTTCTTTCCTCCCTCCCTCCCATCTTCCTTCTTCTCTCTCTTTCCTTCCTTCCTTCCTTCCTTCCCTCCCACCTTCTTTCCTTTCTTCCTTCCCTCCAACCCTCCTTCCCTCCTTCCTTCCTTTCTTCTTTCCTTCCTTCCTTCCTTCCTTCCTTCCTTCCCTCTTTCCTTCTTTCCCCTCCCTTTTGCACCTAAGCCTTTTTTCTGTTACAGGATTCCCACCAAGTCTGCACATTGCATTCAGTCTGGGTGTCCTTCATCTCTTTGGACCTGAATTTCTGTTTCTTTTGTGATCTTGATATTTAAGAATACTGGCCAGTTGCTCCATAGAACACCTGTCAGTGTGGCTCTTCCTGCTGTTTCCTTGACATTAAACTTAGGTCTTGCATTTTTCGGGGCAGGAATACCACAGAATTGCTACTGTGTCCTTCACAGAGTATGGGCTCAGGGGACACCTGATGTCACTGTGTCTCACTCCTGATAATAACCTGGCTAGGGTTGTGCAGGCTAGAATTATCTGCAAAGTTATTATATTACCTTTGGAATAAAATCCTCTTGTGAGGAGTTTGCAAATATCCAATTTCTTATACTTTCTACTTAACCTCCTAATTTCACCATTTATTGATTATTCTTTTTGAAAAACTATCTCTGTGCTGTACGCATATGATACACTGTCATCCATTCTGTATTTCTCAATTGAAATTTCACAGTCAGGAAGAGTTATACTTTCTCTCCTTCCTATTCATTAGCAATAAGTTCCAGGTATTCATTGAATGTCGGGTTACCATTCCGACTATCAGTAGTTTTGGTTGTTGCCCCTGCTGTTGTCTAGTTTTGATCATCAGGAGCTCTTTTGATTGGACTCCTTAACTGGAATCTTTTGAGATTCCATAATTGCTGGCACCTTGTACTATATAGTAATGATACAGGGAGAAAAACTGTTCTCGCATGGGTGACCTTCCAAACCATATAGGGAACCTCCAAATGACATAGAGAAAAAAACAATCTCTGGACCTGACCTGCCCAAGTTCGTGTTCTCTAAAACCGAAGAATGAATTTTAGGAACAAACAGAGGTTATGAGCAGAATATATTTATTGAGAGAAAGAAAGCTCCTGTCCTGAGAAAGGGACAGAAAGGGGGACCCAAGCAGGTAGTTTCCCCAAGGAAGTTGTCTCTTCCAGGGACTTTTATAGAGGAAAACCATGTGGTGAGGCGGGTCTAAGGTGGTGGAGAAGACATGGGAATTCGCTTAGGTGGGCATGAGGTGGGACAAAACTATGGTCAACCAATGAGATTACAAGCACCATTGCTCAGGTAAAATTGATTAAATCCAGTACCAAATGGGAAAGTGAGTCATGTAGCAAGCAGGCACGAATACAGAACAGGGCCTCTTCCTGTTGAGGGTTGGGCTACTGACTCATTTGGGCTCTTTCAAGTTGATTGATACTATTTAGGATATCAATCCCTAATGCCCATCCCTAGGGAAGTATGTAGCTGTGCTTCCTCTTTTTGTCTTGGTCTTGAGGTGTGGCCCATATGGGAGTGTCTGTCTCTTCCAAGTTGCAAAGTCACCTTGTCCTCCATCTTGTCTCCTTGAGGGCCGGGCCCTGTCTAACTGCCTATAATATTTCCATCTAACTCGGCTGCCTACAACAGTAATACCTCAGTTCACAAACACTTTTGTCTACGAATAATTTGGTTCAGATATTTTTTTTTCTTTTTTTTTTGTGGTACCAGGGATTAACAGGTACCATTGGCAACCTTGGGACCTTGTGCTTGCCAGGCCTGTGTTTGTATCCCAGAGCTACATCCCCAGCCCAACAATTCTTTTTGGGAACAGAAGTGCTTCTGTAAAATTTTGCCTCAGTTGCGGGCTTTGCAGGGGGACAGACATGACCTTTATCATTTTCCTGGCAGGAATATGAACGCAGCCATGACTTGTGGAAGGAACTAGGTTTGCAAATCCAGTTACACTATAGATGAAACATCAGTTGTTCCTCTTCTACTCTGCAAAGATATGAGAGACGGGTGTTCTTGGGGCTACCAGGCTGCCATTTCTCCTTTGTCCTTTGAAAGAACACAGCTACTTCCTAGTGCTTAGGCAAATACACACTGTACACACGGATCCATGCCT